GGTGGTAAAATTAAAACCTTTGAAGATCTGGGCTGCTGTCCCAGGTATGTGCCATGCTCTGCGTGTCTGTGTTTTTATTTCAGATATTATATTCACTTACATGTATAACATTTGTATATGCAGAATGTTATATTTATTTCTGCTTTCCCCCGCTGGGGGTCTGTGTTTCCCCTGGGATCAGGAGGAGCTGGATGAGGACAAGACCTGCTGGAGACAGGGAGGGGTTGGGAAGGAGCTGCTCCTGCTGCTCGGAGCCTCCAAGCACAGACAGAGCTTTCCCTGATAACCCAGGCAGCCAGGGATTAAATACCCTGGGGAATTAATTGATCTTTGAGGGTTTGATTCTCCAAATGAAGGCTTTTAGTGAGATCACAGCTTTCTGCTGCTCCTTCTGTGCCCCAGCCTCTGACAGAGGAGGGAGCATCACAGGGCTGATTAACTCACAGCAAAGGACAAGCCGACAAAAAGCCAAACCCCGATCTACCGTAACCTCTTAAAATCTTTATTAATTTTTTTATTAATCCCTTTTTTTTTTTTTTTCTTTTAAATTTAATTAGCACATGCATAAAGTGTCAACAGTTTGGGGTTAAGATGACATTTCTTGAACAAATGTAGTTACAAGCGGTGCCTCGGATCGATCCAGGTTTCCTCTCTGCCCTGTACAGGAGGAAGCTCGAGGTCATCCCTGCCTTTTCCATCCTCGTGTCACCACAGGCAGAACCCACAACACTGGGGAGAAATACACTTGTTCACACGTAGCAACTGGGTAGGGGAGATAGATACGGGCAGCAACATCTACTCACCTACTGACTAAGTGCACATGGCTAAAGACCCCACCAGACAGCGAACGTCTCCTTCCTTGGTAATCGTGGGAATCTCCTTCCTTGGTAATCATGGGAACCTGGCACGGCCTGGAATGGGTGGCCCTCCCTTGGGAAGGTGCCTGGCTCCCACCAGCTCCTTCTACCAGCAAATTTAAGGAGATGGAGCCATTCTTCTGCTGTGATTGAAAAAGGAGCCTTTTGCAGGGGTGTTGGGGTGTTTCTGTCCCCTCTGTGCCACCCCCGCCTGCAGAGCTGGGGCCAAGCTCCACAAAGAGCAGCCCAAGCCCTGCTCCGGGCTCTGTGTGTGATCACTCGGTGCCAAAAGGGGAGAAAATTGCTTTTAAAAGGCCCATGTGGAGCTGGATGCTCTGGTTTGGGAGGATTGGTGCCCCCCTGCTCCAGGAGGTCTCCTGAGCTCAGAGTTTGGGTTTGGGGGGGTCTGAGGTGCCTTGATCCACAGGGCACAGGGGATGATCCTCACCTGCCTGCAATTCCCTCCAAAATAACTCCCCTACAGCACCTGGCCTCGGCCAGAGGTGTCAGTGCTCCTGCTGGCTGGAAAGAGGATGGAAAACTGGAAGGAGATGGCTCCTGTCCTGCTGCAGCAGCTGGCATTGTCCCAGCAGCAGGAGGAGGAGGAGGAGGAGGAAGAGGAAGGCTCCCCTGAATGCTTGCCCCATGGCAGCAGCACGTGCATGTCCCACAGCCAAGTGGTGACAGGGTTTGTGTCCTCCCCACATCTCCCACATCCTCTGGGAACTGCTCCCGTGCCTCTGGAGCAGCTTTTCTTGGGCTGGCCAAGCCTGGAGTGAAAACTGCTCCCCGAGCCACTCCTGTGGAGGGAGGGATCCCAGAGGATCCCCTGGGATCTGGGCAGCTCCAGGTTTGGGGTCTGGGCAGCTCCAGGTTTGCAGCCCAGGTGAGCTCTGCCCGTTCCCAGCACAGCAACACCACCCACCCCAGGAGGCTCCCTGGCCGTGCCAGAGGGAGCTCCAGGAAAGGCACTTTGTGTCATAAGGAGCTGTCCTGGCCCCGTGGTGCTCCCAGCAGGAATTCTGGATCCAAGCCCTCCGTGTGGCAGGGCACAGCTGAAAGCAGAGGGGAGGAAGGTGCCAGCAGAGCTCAGCATCACCCCAAACTCACACCCCGCTCCAGATCCCCCCAGCCAGTCAGGCAGCCCCAAAACCAAGGGAGTCCATTAAGGTGAGGAGCCACCAGCCCCAAAAGGTCCTGAAAACGCATTTTGAATAAAAGGTTTCTTTAAAATTGGTGGGGATTTGAGCAGGTTGGGTGGGACTCAGGGCGAGCTGGTCTCATGGAAAGTGTCCCTGCCCGTGGCAGGGGGTGGAAACCAGACTGGGATCCAAACAATTCTGGGCTTCCATGATCTGATTTCTTTACCTGATCTGCTCTGACCCGAGACAAAAATCACCAGAAAGAGCAGCCCTGCTTGTGGAGAACTGGCCAGAACTACAGACAGAGCCAAAACATCCCAGAGGAAAATGAAATTTGGAGGGGGAGCAGCGCGGGGGGAGCTGATGCTCATGGCTGTGATTTTTGGAGAGCTGGCAGGGCTCTGCTCCTGCTGCCAGCAGGAAATCACCAGCTCCCCACGGGCATCACAGGATTGTCCCTCACCTCAAGTCCTCTTCCTTTTTAACACAGGACTTCTGTGGTTTTTCCATGGTGAGAAGTGATTTTCCACAGAGTCAGCGATGCCAGCTGAGGCATCAGGATTGCACCAGCACCAGAAAGGGGTGGAAATCGATGGGATTTGAAACCCTTGAGCTGGGGAGGGACCCCCCAGGGATAAAAACACCTCCTACAGTGGCAGGAGACCCTCTCCTCGCTGCATTGAGGGGGATGTGATTATTGCTTTTCCTTAAACACAGCTTTCCTGGGATTTTTGGAAGTGGTTCTGGTGGCACCTGCTTCGTTCTGTTGCTGATTGACTGGGAAGTGTTGCTGTGTCTGACCTTCCCTGGAGGTCTGAGGGAAGGAAAGGGAACAGTTTATCCTTCTGGAAATCACGTGTGAGTTGTTTGTTTGCTTTTTAATTTTGTGGGTGTCTTTTTCTTTTTTTTTCTTTTTATTTTTAGATTTACTTTTTTTTCTTTAATTTTATTTTTAGATTTCTCAACTGAGCTACCCCAAATCAAAGGGTAAATTTTTAAATTGTCCACCTTAACGGCTTACTCACTACAGTCTGTGGATCATGAATGGTCCAGAGGAGCTGCTGCCTTTTAAATATTGAAATAGAGCAGATTTCACATCCTTCCCTCTCAGGTGCTTATTAGCACTTTTTAAAAGCACTTTTTAATCTTTATTTTATTGGAGGGTCAACACCAAAAGCAAGGGGGAGCAGAAGCAGCTGCCCTGGCTGCTGGGGGATGTAACCCACCAGGACAAGGAGAGGATGAGGCAGAATTAGAAACGTGCCAGGAATGCCCTGTGGGCACCTCCACCACTCCCTGGCTCCACACAAGGTCACCAGCTTCTCCCTGGCTCCTCAAAGCCTCCTCAGAGCCTCTGTGACCTGAATTTCTCCATCCTCACCTCCAGAAAGCTTTCCCTGAGGCCTGACTCAGCTCCCTGCTGCCACAGCTCAACCCCACGGTGAGCTGAGATTTATTCCCCTCACTGCCCTTTGTGGCTTTGCACAGGGTTTGACCTGAGTGAGGTTTCCCCTGTGCAGGATGATGTGAACCTAAAATGCTGAGCTGGTTTCTTCCTGCCTCATTTTCTCCTCTCAGAACCCTTCACCTTATACAGAACCCAGAGCTGGAATTACCACTGAGCTGGAAATCCCTCCTGGGTCAGCCCTGTCCCCTGGCATCACCAGAGTGGGAAAAGGCTCCTTTCACACCCACCTGGGCTCACAGCCACCAGCAAGAAGTTTAATCCTGCTCCTGGGAAGAGTGAGAGGCAGCTGTGGGAAGATCCCTGCTGGGAGATGCCCAGGGGAGGGTGAAGGCCTCAGGCTCCTGGCAGTCTGTGATTCAGACACCAATTTGGGTGATTTCACATCAACTCTGCCTTCTGGGGACCTTTTTTCCAGTCAGCTCTTGCCTGGGGCTCTCCCTCAGCAGGAACCCAGCCTTGGTGACACCAGCAGCACCAGGTGACATCTCCTGGGGACATCCCACCCTGCCTGTGGGCACAGCTCTGAGGGCTTTGGGGACAAACAGCTCCTCCCTGAAGTTCTTAACTGTGGGGCCAGGTTTGTTTTTGGGGTTTTTTTCCCCCTCCACCAGCAAAATGCAGGCACATTTTTCCACCCAGAGAAGGTGGAGCTTGGGAGAGCGAGCCTAGAAAACCTGGGGCTTGTCCAAGAAAAATCAGATTCACACACACAAAAACAAACAACCCCTTGGATTCTCAGAAAGACTGAACGACTTCAAAGCCTAGCTCTGGGTTCTCAGTGTCTGCAGGTGTTTTCCAGAGGCTGTCACATGGGTTGGTGGCAGCCCTGAGGGTCACCAGGTGGCCGCAGTGATGCTCCCAGGACCATTCCCACCCCATTTGTGTCATCCCAGAGAGCACAGCTGTGTTGGGGCTGGGGAAGGGCACTCCTGGGGGAACAGGGAGCTGCTCAGGGACAAACCCAGCCTGGCTTGGCTCTCCTGGACTTGGCTCAGGCACTTCAGCGTGGGGGATGGAGGGGCAGGAGAGCCCCGGCGCTGTCACCAGCGGGGGGACGTGGTGGTGCTGCTGCTCAGGGGGCACCTAAGGAAGGGACAACAGTCCCCATTTGAGGGGAAATTTATGGGTGAGTGAGCATTTGAGGCTTCTAAAGTGCAGTGCAGGTTACATGGTCTTTGCTGTAGACTGTAAACTCCTCAGGACAGACTCCTTGCCCTTACTTTTATTTTATTTTATTTCTTTTTTTTATCTGTAAAGTGACATTCCAGCTGTGGAAATCTTACCCCTAAATAACTACTACTACAGGAAAACACGGGGATCTCGGTGAAAGGAACAGCCTGGGCTCCCCCTGCCAGCATCCCATGGTGGGGAGTGCTTCCCATGGCCATCCCTGCTCCATCCACAAGGAATTGGCACGGAATTCCTGCCAGCTGGGGACCTCTGGGATGCACCCTCCAAAGTGCCACCTCCAGTGCTACAGCCTGCCTCCCTCCAAGCAAAACTTCCACTTGTCATTAAAGCTGAGGTGTTAATTCGGGCTCAGGGGAGTCTGCAAAGCTTCTCTTGGGGCTGTTGGGTGTCTGGAAAGGGAGAGAGAGGTGGAAAAGCGGCTGGGAGGAAATCTGAGGGCTCTTCTGTGGAAAGAGCTCTCTGAAGAAGCCAAGCTCAGCCTAAAGTTTGTCACAGGAGTAAAATCTTCCCGAGATGAGGCAGCTGCAAAAGCAGGAGCTCTCGTGGGGTGGGATGATTGTTCCTCTCTAAGTCTCTTCCCTGGGTGGGAAATTAGAAATGAGAAAGTTCCCAATCCATTCTTCCTTCAGGACACTTTTAGAGCCACCAGCAGCTCCAGCCAGCTGCAGTGGCCACCCTGAGTCAGGGGGACACGGAGAGCAGTGCCAGCAGTGCACGCTGCCGGGCTCCCACCAACCTCCAGGAACCCGAGCAGGACCAGCCTCGCACCCCCTGCAGCACCACAGGTGCACTGTGGTCCCTGAAAAGTCCCTTCCCAGATCAACCTGGGATGTCCAAGAGGTTCCTGATGGACCTCAAGGACGGCAGCCTTCCATTAATATCTCCAAGCAGAACCAAAATGGCTCAAAATTTACTGTTCCACTGACTCCAGCCCATTTGCAAGGACACGGGGTATTTGATATTTGATATTTCCCCCACCCCCTGTTGACAGCCATATTTATTGTTTTTAATCTATGCCCATAAATTGGCAAGTAGAGGGAAGCAGAAGGAAAAAGGAACTCTCAGGAGATCAGTTGGACTCATTAAATGTTTGGCACTCTGTGATTATGCTTTGGCAATGAAATGCCACTGCTGTATTTTAGCAGGGAACACGATACCTTAATGTACAGGAGAATCTCCTCAGCCCAATTCTGGTACTCTTGAGAGGGGGGGAAATTCAATCATCTGTGACCTGGATTGCATTTTTTAATGTCTGCCAAGCTAGATAAAATATTTAAATATTCACTTTTATATCAGCCCACATGAGGATTTGAGCATTTCAGGTTGTGTAACACAGCATGGCCTACTTTGGGGAGAACGTCCAGAAATAGGCACATATGTACAAAATTCTGAGTGTGCAGCATGTGGGGCAGACAGACAGTGTTAATTAGAGTGGCACAATCCCAGCAGCACCAGCCCAGAGCAGACAAGGAATTGGTGCCACTTCTGTCGGATTTCAAAGGTCACCTGAGCAAAAAACCAGGTGAATCTGCCTCAAACAAAGGTGGTCAAGAGTGGCTGAGTCCCTCAGGTGAAGGCACTGAGGATGGGATTGGGGCTCTCAGTGCCACCATGTGGCATTAATGCTCCAGTTTGGAGATCCTGGAGGTCTTTTCCCACTGGAATGACTCCTGGGGCTTGCCTGCCTCGTGGTGCTGTTGGGAGGGGTGGGGAGAGCCATGGCCAGAGCAGAAATGGGTGTCCAAACCCACCCTGAGCTTCCTTCTCCACCAGCTCCCCCAGACACCTCTCTGGGATGAGGGTGGGGGGTCCCACCGCTGCTACCAGGACGGCTTTAGGGTTTGCACAGGGGTTCTGGTCCCTGGAAGAGGGGGATGCTGATGTTCCCAGCAGGGCTGGGAGCGCCTGGTGCTGCTGGCTGGCTTGGAGCTGAGAAAGTGAGCTGGGTTTGTGTTGTCAGGGGATTTCCTGCAGCAGAACAGGAGGGGTGAGGATGTGCTGGGATGGCTGGGATGCCCCATGGGGACACGGTGTGAGAACATAAAGATGTGAGGAAATGGGGGGTGAGCCTTTCCTGCCCCCCCAGCTGTGCAGGTGTGGCCTGAGTGACCTAAATGACCTTTAGGGTCCCTACCAACCTTCCTATGATTGCAATGGCCCCAGTCCTGGCAGCTGCCAGTCCCAGCACAGGAGCTGTGAGGGGACAGGGCAGTGGGAGGCCCCAGGGACAGCCCTGACCTGCCACACACCCTGCCCCAGTCACCACGGTCCCATGTGACACACACAGAGCAACTGGTGCATGACAAGAAGGGACCTGATCTTTCAGGGGCACTGGGCTCCTCTCCAGCTCCCACCAGGACTGGCTCAGCCCTGCAGAACTGGGACAGGGGCAGAGCCATGGGATCAGCCAGTCCTGTGTGTCCCTGAGCCCTTTCCTGGGGCCCGTGGGACTCCTCAGCTCCTCTGGGTCCCCACAGTGGCTCTGCAGCCCCTCGACCTCTGCAGCAGATAAGAGCAGCTCCACCAGCCCCTGCTCTTTTCCCTCTCTCACAAAGGGCTCTTGCTCTCCCTAAATTACCCAATTAAAGCAAATTTCCCTTCACTTACAGTTTTGTGATTGTATCTACGTCAATAACGCTCCACCAGGAGCATCACCTCAAACCTGAATTTTCACACTGCATCCTTCTGGACCTGCTCCAGGCCAAACCCCAGCTGCCTTCCCAAGGAAAGCAGGTCCTGGGCATTGCAGGGGCTCTCTGTAAAAAGCTCTTGCAGCAGTTTCCCTGCATCTCAGAGCGTCAACCTCAGAATCAAGAGCTCCCAGTGAGCACCAGGAATTTCCTGGCCACCTGTAGGGCACGGTGTCTCCCTGCCTCCTCTGCTCACTCCTGCTCCTTGTGTTTTGCAGGTGAGTTATTCCACGTATCCTGTTGCTCTGCTGCTTCTCACCTTGCCCTCTCCCACATCCCAAATCCATTCTGCAGCCCTGCTCAAGCCCACTGGGCACCACAGCCCCCAGCCCGGGTGTGGAGGTGTGCAAGGTGTCACATCCAAGGGACAAGAGACCATTTCTGTGCCACTCGAGAGAAGGGAGAGCTCCTGGGGGCGTTTCCCAGCAGCTGGGCAGAGGATTCACCACATCTGGCCATGAGGGGTTTGTCACTGGGGGCAGATGAGCAGAAGTTTGGGACAACACCAGCATCTCCCAGGAAATCAGCAACCTGGTCTAGTGGAAGGTGTCCCTGCCCTTGGCAGGGGGTTGGAATGAGGTGGTTTTTAGGGTCCCTTTTATCCCAAACCTTTCTAGGATTCTGTGGAATTTAAGGACCAGCCTTTGGCTCTCAGCCATATCCTCCCACCTCTTTTAGAGGTCTGGCTGCTTCTCCATCATCAAAACCCTGCTGAAGTAGCCATCACCCACAGGGCTACTGGGAGAGGCAGGGAACTGGGCACAGAGCTCAGGCTTTCCCCATCCAGGGACTTGTGGAATAGGGGGACACAAGAGGGGGGTCTGGGGACATCACACTGGCCAATCCACAGATGGTCCCAGCCCATTTTCCACAGGTGGGAAACCTCTCCCAGCTCTCTGCAGGTTTCCACACCTGCCTGTGATGTTTCCAGTATTTCCCACCCCTTCTGCTCTGCCTTCCTCTGTGCCTCTTCCCTTTGTAGCTCTGTGAAAAGTCTGCCACGGATCACGCTCTGTTTTGGTGGGAAAACAGGTATTTTCAGAGCTGAAATAGGGGCCTGCTCACCCAGCTCCTCCATCCAAATGTGGGACAGGGGACGGAGCAGGATCAGGAAGGGGGAATCGGTGCCTGGGTCTGAGCTGATCTCAGCTGTACAGGCACAGCTTGTGGGGCTGCAAAGTGCAAGTTGAGAGTTTACCTGAAAGCAGCAGATTGTCTGATTCACTTTTTCCCAGATAACACTGAAACGGTGTCACGCTAAGGCCAAGGAGAGCTGGGCTTGGGGAAGCTCCCTGGACAGGTTTACTCCTTTTCTGGAAAAGGCAGGACAAGCCTGGCCGAGGCTGTGTCTCCCTGCCAGCCACACCAGCCTTGCCTTCCTGGAAAACCAGCTCTGAGCGTGGATACAGGGAGGGTCACCAAGGTCACCTCGGGCTGCTCACACAACCTGCTCTAGGGGAAGGTGTCCCAGCTCTAGCTGGACTAAATGGGCTTTAAGGGAGCCTTCCAACCCAAAGCATTCCATGATTTTCCAGGGAGGAACCACACAGTGGTGTAACCATACAAAACGTGGTGTAGGGAGGGAGGCTCCTGCCCACACGCAGCTTTTGGAGCTGCCTGACCCCAAAACCACCACCACCAGCAGCAGAGTGTCCCCAAGGCCACACAGCCAGCCCTGTGCTCCCGTGGTGGCACCAGCTGTGCAAACAAGGCTTCTTCTCCAGGAGCTTCTCGTTAGCACAATTAACATTAAGCTGAAAAAAGCACTGCTGCCTCTGGGGCTCCCTTCTCTCGCAAAGCACACTCAGGGCCATCTCCGGTCTTGCTCCAGGTGTAAACCTGGAGTAATCCTATTAACCTGCCTTCAGAGAATTTTGGAAGTCATTAACTATGAAGGTGCCGCTAATTTCTGGTCTCACTGCCTCCGAGGTGTATCCTACCAGTGCTGCTGCTGCTGCTGCTGCTGCTGCCCGAAGGGTTTTGGACATAGTGTAAAAGCAAAGCTCCTGCCCGAGCGGGGCGACGTTGGGGAAGGTGCCTATACACACCTGGAACGGAGCCGGGAGCTCCGAGCCAGCCCAGCCCGGGGCCCTCAGTCCGACCACTCGTTATCGTCCAGCTCGGAGTCGTCGTCGGACTCGCTGTACTCCACCGCGATCCGGCGCGACAGGATGGTCGCCACGTCATTGCCCACGGGCTCTTTTTTGGCCTCTTGCTCCCACTGCTCCTGGACTTTCCGGAGTTGGATTCCTGAGGGAAAGGGGGGAAGGCTTTAGGGGGAGTGCAGCCGATGTGGAGCACTCCCCCCAGTTATGAAGTACTGGCTGAGAGAAGGGGGCAGCTGCCCTGGTGGCTACAAGGTTGTGTGGGATAATTGGATAGGATTGGTAGGATGAGAGGGAATGGCTGTAAACTGAGAGAAAACAGGCTCAGATTGGATGTCGGGAAGGAACTGTTCCCTGGGAGGGTGAGGAGGCCCAGAGATCTGGGTGTGGCTGTCCCTGGATCCCTGGAAGTGTCCAAGGCCAGGGTAGACGAGGCTTGGAGCAGCCTGGGATAGTGGGAAGTGTTCCTGCTCACGGCAGGGCATGGAATGGGGTGAGCTTTAAGTTCCCTTCCCACCCAAACCATTCTAGGACTTTATGAATACGTATGATTACAAAGCTGCATCATAGAATAAAGCTCCTCCTCTGCTTCCACTCAGCCTGAAGATATTGAACCTTCCAGAAGGTTAAATCTACCATTTGACCTGGAGATTTACAGGAAAGGGAAACACGAGACACCCTGGAGCACATCAACCACTACAGCCCTGCAGGAAGCCCGAGAGCTGCCAGCAATCCGCGGGGCTTCATTCCACCTCCAACCACGCATCCCCCAGCTCTACCCTGCATTTCACCCCGCCCCAGCCAGCACCGGGCCCGCCCTGCCCTCGGTGCCCCCCGAAGCGGCTCTGTCCCGGCTCTCACCCCTGCGGATGGCTGCCAGCAGGTCGCTGCGGGCGTCGCTCATGGGCATCAGCGGCACCTGC